AACCAAACCAAGCCAAACCAACCAACCAAAAAAAGCCGCCAAAAGCAGTTAGTTCTGTAGGGCAAGACACTGGACAATTTTACTTTTCTGCTTTGCCTCGCCTATTTTCTGTCCTCTTCACAATACTTGTGATTTGCACAGCAAAACAGCACATCTCAGCATCTCACTGTAATGCTATCTAGGCACAGAGCCGGCTGTTGTAGGCACGTTCATCTTTTCACTAGAGCCATTTTGTTGGGGTTGAGTGCGTGGCCTTCCATAAACTCCTCTGTGAAGTTCTACCCCCCGGAGTAACTGGATTGAAGGCAGCTTGGGAGGCGATAAGGATAAAATGAGGTCATAAGAAGAGCATGCTAGCCCCACAGGGGTTGGTGTCCTTATCAGAAGATGAAAAGGTCAGACAAGATCCGAGTTCCAGCCCAGCCTGGGCAATTTAGCAACTTAATGAGACTGTCTCAAAAAAATAAAAAGGGCTGAGAAGTTAGTTCAGTGCAAAGGTCCTGGGTCCAATCCCCAGAACACTACACACACACACACACACACACACACACACACACACACATACACACACACAGGCCATACATTAACTAGAGTTGGAATAAGCAAAGTTTCCAGCATAGCACCAGGCTCCTGGCTAAACAAACAATAGCAATTAAAGTAGTCTTAATTATAGTCACTAAACTATTTGATCCACTTTCCAGAAACAACATATTAGAGAAAGAAAGAGCTGTGCATGGTGGTGCACACCTATAATGCCAGCACTCCGGAGGCTGAGGCAGGAGGATCACTGCGACTTTGAGGCCAGCCTGGGCTACCCAGGGAGTGAAGGCCACTCTGGACTACATAAGGAGACCCTGCCCCAACTCCCCCATATAAAAAACTATACCTACTGTGCGTGTGTGCACACACACACAGAAAATAGAAAAACGTAGGTGGCCAGAGGTATAGCTCAGTGCACAGCACTTGCCTAGCATGCATAAAGCCTTGAATTTGGTCCTCAGTACCACAAATAAAAAACAATTAAAAATATAAAATTAGTGTGGAAAAACTTGAAAGTAGCTGGGCATGGTGGCGCACACCTGTAATCCAGCACATGGGAGGCTGAGGCAGGAGGACCGTTGCGAGTTTGAGACCAGCCTGGGCTACAAAGTGAGCTCAAGGCCAGCCTGAACTGCATAGTGAGACCCTGTCTCAAAAAGAAAAAAATACAAAGTAAAATAAAAACTTGAAATATATATATATATTATATATATACATATATATAAAACTGTGTATATATACATACATATATACACAAAGGTTTGAAAAGATCGAATCAACACAAAACAATATAAACTAAACCCTCTCTCCTCAGCCCCCTCTCAGGCCACTTGTCACAAGTAGTTAATGCTAACACGTGCTATGGGCTCCCAGTCATTTTCTTTTGTGTTTTGCAACACTGGGGAGGGAACCCAGGGCCCTGTAAAGCCAGGCAAGCGCTCTTCCACTGAGCGACATCCTCAGCCCTATCTTTTCCTTTTTTTTTTTTGAGACAGGGTCTCGCTATGTAGTACAGGCTGGCCCTGCACTCACTATGGAGCCCAGACTGGCCTTGAACTCCTGGTGATCCTCCTGCCACAGCCTCCCGAGTGCTGGGATCACAGGTGTGTACCACCACGTTATTTTCATTAACTACAAATGGAATCTTACTGAACTTACTCCCTGCGCTCTGCCTTTTCTCATTCAAATACAGGTTAGACATGAATGACGTCAGCGTCAGCGGCTATAAATCTGCCCGGGGCACTTAACAGTCATAAAGCATTTGACTATACAGACTCAGCCCACCGCCACACCAGGCAAGGGATTAAATCTGGGGTGCTTTCCCACTGAGCTACATCCTCAGCTCTTTTTAATTTTTTTTTTTAATTTTGAGAAACGGTCCTACCAAATTGTTTAGGCTAAACTCAAAACTGTAATCCTACAGAGCACAGTGGCCCACACCTGTAATCCCAGCACTAGGGAGGCATAAGACAGGAGGATTGATGCGAGTTCTGGAGCAGCCTAGGCTACAAAGTGAGTTCAACCTGAACTGTGTAGTGAGTTTGTTTGTCACAAACAAACTGTAATCCTTTTGCCTCAGCCTCTGGATTAGCATGGGCCACCATGCTCTGCTCAGACATGGAGGAATTTAGCTCCCTAGTGATGACCATTAGTGTATATATATATTTGTTTGGTTAGTTGGTTTTGGTTTTTTGAGACAGGGTCTCAAGCTACATAGCTCAGGCTGGCCTTGAACTCACTGTGTAGTCCAGGCTGAGATCGAACTCCTGGTGATCTTCCTGCCTCTGCCTCCCAAGTGCTAGGATTACAGGTGTGTGCCACCACACGTAGTACACCTGGAAACTTTTTTTTTTTTTTGTCTTTTTGAGACAGGGTCTCAGTTCAGGCTGGCCTTGAGCTCCCTCTGTAACCCAGGCTGGTCTGCTTGCAACGATCTTCCTGCCTCACCCTCCTGAGTGCTGGGATTATAGGCAGGCACCACCACGCTGGGTTTACCTAGAAACTTTTTAACCAGTGTTGATCCAGGGATTATTTTTCTACAGGAATTATGACATTGAGTATTAGCCTTGTATAACTGCTGGTTCTAGGTAGTAAAAATCAGAGCACCAATGGCCATGGTGGCACACCCCTATAATCCCAGCAATCAGGAGGCTGAGGCAGGAAGATCTTGAGTTGGAACCCACCTGGGCTACAGAGCAAGTTCCAGGCCAGCCTGGAGCACGTAATAAGACCCTGTCCCAAAAATAAACAAATAAAAAACAGGAGCAGTTGACAACTGGTCAAGAATTTGTCCCTTTCCCCCCAAAAAAGAATTTGTCCTCATACTGTATTTTTTCCTCTGCAAATCTATGGAATTGTCAGCTCTGACTATATCTCCTGTGTTACTCAGGACCTTCTAAACAATAGGGCGGCTCATTACCCACCACCCATGTTTCCCTCTCCAGGCCTCAGCCTAGCATCAGGACTGTACTCTAACCTCCCTGTCAGGGCTCAGCCCCAGTTCTATCCAGTGGGCTCCACACTGATCTGGTCCCAGCCGCTCCTCTGGCCCCAGCGCTATCTCCACTTCCCCAAACTTCCCTTATCCCTCAAAACCCTGCTGCCCAGATAGCAGCCCTGAAACAGGAAAGGGACGTACCTCAAGGGAACAATTAACAGAGTGAGGGGAGGACTCAAAGAATCCAAGAATCTGATAAAATATTTGCAAACAATGTATCAGATAAGGAGATAATTACCCCAATAAAAGAAAGAAAACCTAATTTAAAATATTGGCAAAAGATTTGAGCAGATATTGTTCTTTTTTTCCTGTTTTAGACAAGGACTCACTAGGCAGTCCAGACTGGCCTGGAACTCACAACCCTCCTGGTTTTTTTTTTGTTTGTTTGTTTTTAACCCTCCTGTTTTAGTCTCATAAATGCTGGGATTACAAGTGTGTACCACATCTGGTATGACATTTCTCTTTTGCTTTGTTTCTTATTTTGGCAGTAGTGGGGATTGAATCCCCAGACCTTGTGCATGCTAGGCAAGCACTCTGTCACTCAGCTACACTCCCAGCCCATTAACATTTTTCAAGAGAATGCACACAATTGGCCAGCAGAGAGCCAGGCGTGGTGATGCCTGCCTGTAATCTCTGCACTTGGGAGGCTGAGGCAGGAGGATCACGGTGAGTTCCAGACCAGCTTGGGCTACAAAGTGAGCTCAAGGCCAGCCTGAACTGCATAGCAAGACCCTGTCTCAAAAAGGAAAAAAAAAAAAAAAAAAAAAAA